GAGAGAGAGAGAGATGTGGTAGGTTCCAGGAAGTAAGCCAGCGATGTTGTCACTTGGCAGGGTTTTGGCTCATAGCAAGACTTTTTCTGTTCAATCATTGTCTCTCCAGCGTTGACTTGCCACCGATATGCATGTCCAACAACCGGGAGTACCGGCAACCACCTCTCACCGGAATCCCAAACCTCGTCACCGGTGTTTTTTTTTTTCTCTCCAAAAGTGTCTGTTTTATTTCAGCAAAAAATACGCCTAATCTAAAACCTTGACTAAATCAGCATTTAATATGTTGGTGTGGAAAACTATGACTCATGCATATACACTCAACCCTATAAACACACACACACACACCACCTTACCATAGGCGTCTTGTAGTCGATGAGAACGTATTCTCCCATAAAACGGACATCACTCGGAAGTCTGAGATAAATTCAGAAAAACGCGAGCACCAGCCAACTTGAACCCTGGTGAACTGGTTCAACCACAAGGAACCTAACCATCTGAACGGTGATATTTTTTATGCTATTTGATGGTGCCGAGCTTTGAAAGCAGACATATGTCGCCTATTGTGGATTCCTAACGCGACAGACACCCATCGCGGGCTGAAACCGTAGAAGTATGTCATCAGCTTTATATTCTTAAAAAAATGTTCTTCTCTTACTCTCTTTCAACCTGAACATTATTCATACACTTTATTTATTGTTACTACCTCCTTTTTGTTATGTTTTAAATTCCACTCATTCCTTTACGTTATTCGGATTTTCCATATAAACTTCATTTTATTTACATTTACATGAGAGACACGTGGATAGTGAATTTTATGATCTCAAATACATTCAGAAAAACAATGGAAACTTAACGGGAAGCCATAAATTTAAAATTTGGTGCAAAAGTATGATCATTTGTGAGCTAGATATAAATCATACATTAAAATTTTAAAACAAAACTTAAACCGTTTTTAAAAATTTACTCCCTCTGATACGAATTAATTGACGCAGGCTCTATACTATGTCCATTTTACATTGTATAGAGGTTGCGTCAATTAATTTGGATCGGAGGGAGTACCAAAATTTACACGTATGCCTATGATTTCACACCAATTTTAAACCTAGACATTTGATTTATTTTTCTTAGAGATTTATTTTTTTGTTAAGTATCTACTATATTGGGCACATATGGACCTGATATCATAATTGCACATCCAAGTGTATATCGCCACACATACACAAGAGCGAGTGAGCATCTTGACACACTGTAACTAGCAGAGATAGAAAGATAAATCCTCAAATCTCGATAAGTTGCTATCGACTCATTTTGCAGACTCGAGGGGAAGATCGCACTCATAACTGGTGGAGCGAGTGGGCTCGGAAAGGCCACGGCTCACGAGTTCATCCAGGAGGGCGCGTCCGTGGTCATCGCCGACGTCAATTCTGCGCTGGGCGTAGAGACAGCCCAGGAGCTCGGCCCACAGGCCCATTTCGTCCACTGCGACGTCACCGTCGAGGAAAGCGTCGCCGCGGCCGTGGACGCCACCGTCGCAAAGCACGGCCGGCTCGACGTCATGTTCAACAACGCCGGCATCGTGGGAGCGCTCTCCGGGACGTCGGAGGTGGCCAGCCTGGATCTGGGCCAGTTCGACCGCGTCATGAGCGTGAATGTGCGCGGCACCCTGGCGGGGATCAAGCACGCGATGCGGGTCATGGCGCCGGCGGGCTCCGGCTCCATCCTCTGCATGGCCAGCATCAGCGGTCTCCTCGGCGGCCTCGGCACGTACCCCTACGCGGTCTCCAAGCTCGCCGTCGCCGGGCTCGTCAAGACCGCCGCCGCCGAGCTGTCCCGCCACGGCGTCCGGATCAACTGCATATCGCCGCACGCCGTGCCGACGCCGCTGGTGCTGGAGCAGTTCTCCCAGCTGTACCCTGGCGCGGACCAGGCGCAGCTGGCCGCCATCATCGGCGGCCTCGGCGACCTCAAGGGCGCGACGTGCGAGGCGGTGGACGTGGCCAAGGCGGCCGTGTACCTCGCGTCCGACGATGCCAAGTACGTCTCCGGCCAGAACCTGGTGGTGGACGGCGGCTTCACCACCTACAAGAACATGAACATGCCACCCCGCAAGCCTCAGGGTCAGGAATGAGTGATTGCCCACTACTGATGTTGGCTGCGTTTGTGCTCGTCTGGGATTGTACAAAACTGCCTGTGTTCTTGTGCATCCTTGGAATGAACGGTGGATTCGACAGCTTTGGGCATCTCCAACGCGGCCTCTAAACCAGATATTGTAAACAGATATTGATGTGGGAGCCGACCATTTAGCCTTGCCTCTTTAATGTTCTTCTCTATTTTTTTCATGTCCAGAGCACCAAAATAGCATATCAAGCCTTCGATGAGTGAAAATATTCAAATACAACACTAGTTCTAATTAAAATAGTACTCCCTCCGTCCGGAAATACTTGTCATCAAAATGGATAAAAGAAGATGTATCTAGACATATGTTAGTTCTAGATACATCTATTTTTCTCCATTTTGAAGACAAGTATTTTCGGACGGAGAGAGTACAGTTCAACTAAAGTGTTGAAATTAAAATAATTCAAACTTGAATTCAACTCCGGCTATGATCCATGGAACTGGAAATTTCTAAAGTTTAAGTTGAATCACCACGGCCATCGAATTAAAATCCAACAACCTCCACTTATTGGTCCAGCTCTTCAAGCGACACTGTTGATCTTTTCCTCCAACTTTCTGTAGAGCCATATTTTTTTAGCAATTGTCCCTTCCTCTCCTCTACTTCACCTCTGGCAAGGTCTTGCTCGAGCCCTTATCGTTGACTCCGTCCCCGTCTTGTGCTCCGGCCAGTGGCGGAGAAAGGGGAACCAGCAGGGGCCCTAGCCCCCCCTAACATCAGTGATTTAATACTAATCTGCTTATGTATAGTACATGTTTAGTGATCATTTGCTGTAAAAAGATCATTTTTTCAGTGTTCGGC